CTCCCATTAATAGACACGGCCTTTCAAATGAGACCTTAATGTGCAGTAGGCATTATTTGCTTGCAGCTCTCTTTACCACTCCTCTTGTGGTGCGCAAGTTAGTTACGCAAGCGACTCCATCTTTTCTTAAGATTAGCTTGGTGATTCTTGCCAGTGGCCACTTTAGTGGTGGAAGAGGGGAAGAAACGATTGAGCTGTAGGAGCGTCACATCAGGTTCAACGAACGTTGATGGTCCATCTATTAAGATATGAACTGGAGTGAGCAATTCTATTCTATTGACGCTATATGGGAGACTAGGGCGTAAAGGTCTTCGAAGTTTCTGCGCTAACTTCACTGCAACTTCCCAATGGCCGCCAAAATGCTGTGAACGAGCTGGAATAAATTTCCAATCAATGGAGTCAGCTATGCAAAATCTGTGAACTGAAAAGATATGATTGCGACTGAAAAGCAGACCTCGTTCTTGGTGCGCACAAAGTCCGACCATATCTAAAATGGCCTGCCTCGAGTTGAAATAAACCTCATGAGCGCAATCAAGAAGCCTTCAACAGATTTTTTGTCAGCTCCATGTGAACTGCTTTAGTCGCGAAGAAGACAACATTTGACTAAAGCTATATTAATTTAATTTTACTTTTACTTGTGACTCTCAACTTGGATTTATCCCCAATGATGTCGTTATCGCTTTCTCCAAGCGATTCTCCTAATATCACCCCTGTGGTGTCCTTTATAGTAAACTCTATAGACCCCATCTTAGAACCTGATCTGGTCAGTGAAATTTTTGCCCGCAAGAGTTGACCTGCGCGCAATCTTGCCCAGATTGCTTTACCTGTTCCTATTTTGATTGTTGTTGCCCCTCGTAAACAGATTTTAGTGTCCCGGCTTTCGTCTGACACTACTTGCTAATCAGTGGCTGCCTATATTACAAGCAAATTAAATTTCTCTACTCCTCATGAAATATTAAATTTAAAATTAATGTTTTGCATGATTCGTTCCCAATTATTTGTGATCTTAAATATTGGCCTACTCACATGATTGTTCACGAGTTTAAGCCTAAACAAGTAAGAGGTTCTCGTCGGGAGCTCCCGACGCGCTCGTTTGCTTTAGTAGTAATAAAGATAAATTAAAACGATAAGGAAGGGCTATCTTCGGCACGCCGAAGATTTAATACCCTTGCAGACCCAACCTTTTCATAATGCTCATAGTGCTTTGCAATTATCTAAGAAGCACAGGGAAAATAGTTAATGACAGTTAATTAACCGAGCATGGTTAAGATGTCTTGAAAAACAAAAAAGTTTTCCATACAACTTAATTTCGACCGATCGTTCCTATGGCAGCTATATGATATAGTTGTCCGATCTTAATAGGATTTTGCATGTATATGAGGAGCATAGCCAAACTAATAAATGCCGAGTTTGATCAAGATATCTTTATAAACAAAAAAATGTTCCATACAACAACTGATTTTCGACCGATCGTTCCTATGGCAGCTATATGATATAGTGGTCCGATCTTAATAGGATCCTAATTATTTTGCATATTTATGGGGAGCATAGTAAAACTAATCAATGCCGAGTTTGGTCAAGATATCTTGAAAGAGAAAAACATTTTCCATACAACAACATAATTTTCGACCGATCGTTCCTATGGCAGCTATATGATATAGTGGTCCGATCTTAATAGGATTTTGCATATATATGAGGAGCATGGTACAACTAATAAATGCCGAGTTTGATCAAGATATCTTTATAAAAAAAAATGTTTCTCATACAAGAACCTACTTTTCGACCGATCGTTATAATATAGTGGCCTATGGCAGCTATATGATATAGTGGTCCGATCCAGCTGGTTTTGACATATGAACTGCGTGCAACAAAAAGAGGGACGAATGCAAATTTTCATAAAGATAGCTTTAAAACTGAGACTAGTTCGCATAAAAACAGACAGACGGACAGACGGACATGGCTATATCAACTCGGCTGTTGATACTGATCAAGAATATATATACTTTATGGGGTCGGAGATGTCTCCTTCTATGCGTTACACATTTCACTACAAAATTATAATACCCTCTGCAAGGGTATAAATTAAAAAGAAAGTTCCTTTGGCAGGGTTAAAACTCGTAACAGACCACACTACTTGCCGTCACCTCTACTCAACAGCAACACCAATAATTGAGTCTTAATGAGAAAAAAACGGATTGAAATAGCAGCACAGAAAACAATACATTCGCAATTGCAATCTGTTGATAGAATTAAATGAACAGGCGTATGAATGTGTGTGTGTACATGTATACAAAAATTCTTGGAATTTGCGCTTGCTGCCGCTGATACGTGGAAAGCCATATAATATCTTTAATAATTTCTGTGTTTATTAACCGATCTTGATGAAAATTTCTATAGTATAGTGCCATAGAATATTTGTGTATTCTTAAAAAGTCAATTGCATTTAAATTGTGGCTTATATTGGTGGGCAACATAATTTGGTTTATTTACTTGATTTAAAGCTATGAGGTAGTAGCGGGGAGGTGGTCACAGCTATAAAATGAAAAATACTTGATATGTATATATACTATTCTAGAAGCTACATGTCAAATTTGGTGAATCTAGCTCTTATTATTTACCAAAATTCCTAAAAAAAAAAAACAGGATATATATACTTTATGAGATGCTTCCTTCTGTCTGTTACATACATTTGCACAAATACATTATATCCTTTTTACCCATTTTTAATGGGTTAAAGAAATCAACATATCCCGGTCACCCTTCAAGTCCCTTCGATACAAGGTGCTGTCAAAAATAAATCGAACCTTGCGTTCAGGTGTATTAATAGCCATTAAAGCCGCTCTCCATTCTGAATCTTTTTTATTTACTGCGCCTATTGATGCTAAGAGTGTTTCAGTTATATATTCGCGATTTATATCACCTTTTCCTATATCCCACCTTCTTCTTGCATTCAATCTTACATGAAACTTATAAATTGTGTTAGATAAGTTTCTACTAATGTGCGTGTTAAAGACCTATATACATATAGTGTTGGGTGATTTTAATTTACCGAACATCTCTTGGTCATTCACCGCGAATAATTACCTTTTACCTTCATCACAGCATGACTTTATAGAATACGGGCTTGATTTTTCGTTGTTTCATATCAATTCAATTTCAATTAATTTAAATAAAACATTTTATCTTGTACTTCTCAACGATAACCTTCATGCTAATATATCCGGGATGCATACCATCCTACTTTGGAGGTTACAATGCTCAATTGTAATCCCAGTCTTTATTCATTAGTGACCAACAAGTCCCACAGTTGCTTTCGCAAAGGAAACTCTAAAAGGAATGTAATTCCAACTCAACCCTTCTATTACTTCTTTTAAGCCACCCCAATTTACTCCCAGACTATCAACGTTAAAACTTGACTTGGGTATATACTCAATAGCTAAGACAAACTTTTTTTTTATGAATTCTCAATGTTATGAGAATTATCTTAATCGTTGTAAAAGGCAATTTGTTTAAAATCTGTGTTATAATTTTGTAAGCTTTAAGCGTAATTCTTCAACTTTCCCCCTTCTTTTTCTCTCGGGAAGAAGAAAGAAACAATGACTCAGATGCTGCTAGCCGCTTTTCGGTTTTTTTTCAATTAACTTACGGATCTTTTATATCATTACGAGGCTTAAACTGGGACCCCAATCATCTTCTTGTAATCGTATTCCAGCAGGCTTCTTCTACTTAATATTTCTTCGTAGGACAATCATCGGTGTTGTCTTCCTGCATAAGGTAATAATTGCCGACATTAATTCTCCTTTGCTGTTGGGGCGTCTTCAACTCCTTGGTCCCTACAGACCCCCAAGAAATTATCGCCCTATATTTCACACTAGGCACTGCACAACTCATTTCGAGTATTATGCAATCATTATAATAGATTTTTCCAAGTACTCTCCATACAACTATCTCTACCCCTAATAAAATAGTTTATTTCAGGATATCTTCGGGAACTCACTGACAATATTCAGCAATGAGTAGAGGAATAGCTAGCCGGACAGCTTGTCGTAACATTCTATAGCCTATTTCATTTTTTTTCATACCGTTTCCCTCTTCTCTAAATTATTTATATTTTAAAATAATATAGTAACTTAAGATTTTATATAAAAAATATTTTTTCACAACTAATACCTCTATTCTTAGCTGTAAACTCTAATAACTTCACTGACAAATTTAGTTGTGAAAAGTGGCATAGCTGGCCGGATGGACGAATAAAATGCCTCGACCGTGTCGGTGATGACATTAGAAATATTTGTACTCTGATTAGGCTTTAAGTTATTAATATTGCCATTCTAATGTATTAAATACTTAGGTTGACTCTTGTTTTGTCGACAAATGGAAATCTTATTTTTTAATTCAACGAATAATAACATTAATGTACAGTACAAATTTGATTACGTGTTTGGATTTGGATCGCCGGTTTTGTCAAACTTCGAGAGTGTAGCCAAGAGCAGCACGCCGAACAAACATTTTTAGAGCGGTGCAGCCAAGAGCAGCACGCCGAACCATAAAATTTCGAGCGGAGCAGCCAAGAGCAGCACGCCGAATAAAAATTTTTCGAGCGGTGCAGCCAAGAGCAGAACGCCGAACTATCAAATTTCGAGCGGTGCGGCCAAGAGCAGCGCGCCGAACCAAAAAACTATCGGGCGGTACAGACAAGAGCAGCGCGCCGAACATAAGGGCGACGGCCAAGGCCCATCCAGAAGGCAAACTCTTCAAGAAGTACTCCTCCCACGATCCTCACCAGCGGCGCTTCTAGACGTGACGCCTGAAAAACAAGAAGGAGCCCAAGCATCTGGACGAGGAGAAATGAGTAGCAAGTCAAACAAAAATTGGGGGTTGGCAACTAAAAATGGAGGAGCTACCAATGCTCCTGAAAATGTTCGAGCTAGAGTCCTCCACGAGCGTTGAAATTAATAATTAGTAGGAAAATTCCCTTCCCAGCAAAAATGCCGATCAGCTCTGCTTCAACTCTTTTACTCGACAGACAAACTGATTACAGTTCAATGTACAATACATCGTTCGACAATATCGATAGTTATTCAATTCAATTAACATTTCAAGGAATGTAAGCAAAAATACTAAATATATAGTCTTGGAAGCTCCTTCCAAAACACCGTCTTTTGTTGACTCCAGTGGCAAGGGGCAGATTCTATGTACATTTCGCTTGAGAAACCCCGTCTTGGACTTGAGAGTCACGACACGCACTGCGCCATCGCATCCGGGATGTAATTCGGATACTCTTCCTAATAACCATTGTCCAGGCGGTGCGTTGTCTTCGGCGATCAGAACTAGACTTCCGATCTGTACGTTGCTCGCAGTTGTCCTCCATTTTGAGCGTTCATGCATTAAGGTGAGGACCTCATTTTTCCAGCGGCCCCAAAACATATTGTGTACTATGAGAATCCTTTTCCAATGGTTGGTCAGCGATAGTTTTACCAATGCTTTGTTAAATGGTTCCACTAGCGCGTTAAGTGGACGGCCAACCAAAAAGTGGCCAGGAGTTAGTGCTTCTAAGTCATTCGGGTCCGATGATAAAGGATACAGCGGCCTCGAATTTGTCACGGCTTCCACCTGCGTAACTGCTGTTGAGAGATCCTCGAAGTTGAGAGCCGTGCTGTTTGCGCACTTGGCCAGCAGCTGTTTCGCGACCTTCACTGCGCTCTCCCATAACCCTCCAAACTGAGGTGAGCGTGACTGCACGTGTCGCTGATAACACTTTGGCCCGACTGGTCAAAAGTTTTGCCCAGTTCTTCTGAAGCGCCTACAAAGTTAGTGGCGTTGTCGCAGAACAGGTCGGAGCTTAGGCCACGTCTGGCAAAGAACCGTTTAAGTGCCGCTATGAAGGCGCTGGCACTCAAGTCCGACACGATCTCTATATGGCATGCCATCGTCAGGAAGCATACGAACACATACGAATACACCTTGACTGGGCGCTTCGCTCGTATGTTGAAATGTGTCCAAATTGGTCCTGCGAAGTCTAGTCCCGCTCGTTGAAAGGGGTAGATACTGCCTCGCACTCGGCGCTCGAGCAGCGGTCCCATGACCTGATTGCCCAAGACAGGTCAAAGCCGAAAACAGGTAATGAAACTTCGTACCACATTGCGAGCCAATTTTGATCCAATATTGATGATCCAATATTTCTGCCGCAAGAAGGCGCATAACTATTGAGCCCCGAAATGTAAATTGCTTCGAATAGTGTAATTAATTAGTGATTTTACGACGATATGATCTTTAAACATTAAAATAGGATGCTTTGTGTCAGTTGGTAGATCGGCCTTTAGAAATCGCCCACCTACGCGTACAATCGAAATTCCTTCTTCTTCTTGAATGAAGGGATTCAAGCATTGAATGTTTATAGACTTTATAGGTCTTTTATCTTTTAACCTAATGAATTCCTCACTCAGCTTTAAATTTTGCAGATTATAAATTATATAGCCAAGGCCTCCAGCCATCTCATCTGCAGTTCGGTCCCACTGATGATGCCCTGTAATTTGCCGCTTTATAGCTCTACGCCACCTATAAACGTAGCTAAACATGCGCTGAAGTTTCAAAAAGTCGTTTGTAAATTTACATTCCCCGATAACATCGTAAGTCTCCCTCGTCTCAAGGCAACTAACTGCAAGTGAAAACGTACCCTTACTCTGTTCAGGTATTGCTTCGTCGCTACAGCGCCATTGCGCGTTAGCCCAGTCATCTACTTGATGCCTCAAAAAATCAGGGCCCTCCCACTATAAGGTTGCATTATTCAAGTCTGTTGGATATAATCCCCTGGATCTGCTGGTTTTAAATTTGACTCTACTTTATACCAACCCTGAATATTGCTTAACTTTTGTATTTCAGCCACCCGGTTTGCTACGAAAGTCGTCCATCGGCTTGCATGCGATGACAACTAGTTGAGCACAATTGTGGAGTCTGTAATATGTCGTGCCTGCGAAACCTTTAGATGAATGCAAGTGAAACCGCTCCGTCTTTATCACGCACAATTACACCCCCGTAAGCTCGATTGAGTCCACCTCAAACGTGATGGGAACCACCGATCATGGCAGCGAGCACTGATTTATAAGCTTCAGTTCCTCTCGGTATCTTTGCCATTGGGCCGCGTAACTTGACGGCAGCACTTCATTAAAGTCGTGTTTCAATAGCCACAACTCTTGCACGAATATCTTGCCTAAAATCGGTATAGGACTCAAAAATCTCAAATCCCCAATCATAAACTTGAGCTAGTTCTGATAGCACTGTTCGCTTCGTTATAGTTGTAGAGCATTTGACGTTAAACGAAAACTGAAATTGGTCGCTTTGACTCACCCAACATATTCCAAGGGCTTTAGCTGCATCTTCAGTTTTAAGCATTAAAGGCTCTAAGTCGTCCGCATTGCTGAGGGCTTCATGACAATTACTACGCCATTTCTGTAGCTTAAATCTGCCAAGTTATAACAGTTCACAAACTTGCTGTGTCAATTCTACAAGGTTCGCTATAGTGTCTGCACTACACAACATATCCTCCATGTAGAAACTACGTCTAATCGCTTTAGCTGCCAGTGGATATTGTGCCCCAATACCCACTCCGCGTCGAAAATGTCTTGCTCACTACCGAGAGATTTAAGGGACGCTAACTGCGAGTTTAAACTGTCTACAAGTACCCTCAGAGTCTCCGAGTCTACATACTTGACACGTTTCAGATTAAACAGCTCATTTATGTGAGATTGAACAATAATTGCCTGGTTTTCATAACGATCTTGCAGTAACCGTAGGGTACTTAACACCCGATAATTCCAAACAGTCAATGGTTCCTAAAGGAACGACACCTAAAGCAGATCGCAAATGTATTGGCTTCGAAAAGTCATCAAGCTCAGCATCCGACCCTATCTGCACAGTGAATGTATTAAACCAACTGGTCCACTCGGTGTACTTCCCTGACAACTCAGGCACTTTTAAAGCTCTTCGATCGCTTGGCGACTGTCATATTCACTTGCATCATCACTCTCCTGTTCTACTTTGGTTTGGATTAAACAAAACTGTCTATAATTTGCTTCAATTAGGCTTAACTGTGCTTCCCACTCTGCAGGTGTCATTGAAGCATTACGTTTCGTAATATAATTTTTGTTGCGCGTAAAGGAATTCACTAAGCTGGCCCGTGTCGTAAAACTTTCATTTTCTTTACTATTTTTTGGAGCCATTGTGCCGACAAATAATTAGCACGAAAATTTAACAATAATTTTCCCAATGCTTTGATTATACCACAATGTATAATTTTGTAACTAACTGTTGGTTCAAAATTCACATAAAATGCGGCTTGCCCTATTTTGCTTACGTGAACAAATCTTATTTTCTCTTGCCCTCCAAAGAGGCAGATCACTACTAATTTGAATTCCCTTTGCTGCTGTACCTTAAGCGAGCCAAATAATGCTCAGCGTACGTAAATAACCGCTTCTTTTGTGCACGCAAAAGGAATTTAAATTCAATGTCAAGTCAAAGTCAGTCAGGTTGCTGCTATGTCGCGATGTATGTATGTTGGCATGTGAGCACACAGAATTGAGCTCCTATACTTTGAGCACGTATGCATACAATACAACTGTAACTCTCAATATGTTACTGTACATTTGTATGAATACTTGACGCCCTTTATTGCCAATACTACATGTGACAAATTTGCACACACTTTTTAAGGCTGATCTACCAATCTATCGACACTTTTTTGATTCATAATACTTATATTCACACAAATAGAATAGAACTTAACATGCATGCAAGAAATATTAAATGCACCAAGGCAGTCAAACTCACAATACAAGGTTCCCGCCGCAGTCGCCGGCCTATTCTCTTGGTGAATTAAGCTAAATTCCAATTAGCTTATGTTTGTTTAGCTTCTTCCGGATTTAGACCTTATCCTCAGGTCCTTGCTCGGGCGCCAATGTTCGAGCTAGAGTCCTTCACGAGCGTTGAAATTAATAATTAGTAGGAAAATTACCTTCCCAGCAAAAATGCCGATCAGCTCCGCTTGAACTCTTTTACTCGCCAGACAAACTGATTATAGTTCAATGTACAATACATCGATCGACAATATCGATATTTATTCAATTCAATTAACATTTCAAGGAATGTAAGCAAAAATACTAAATATCGCTGACATCGTTACTAAATACTATATATTAACTTGCGGCGCGAACACGCACCTTTTATGGGGATTCCAAAGAGTGGGGTCTCTTTGCCGAGCTGTTTACAGAGTTGGTTCAATCAAGAGAGGATTTGTGTCCAGCTCTTAAATTTAACTATTTAAGAACGTCATTAAAAGGAGAAGCAAGATGCATGGTGTCGCATTTGCTTAAAGGCTCCTCAAAAAATTTCAATGCGACTTGGGAATTGTTAACCAAGCGTTATGAAAACAAACGGATACTATTTTCCGAACAATTAAATCGGCTTATAGAGTTGCTAGTACTGAACAGTGATTTAGCAGAGCACATTAAAGCATTTATTGATTCAATTGATGAATCAATTCATTTAATAAAATTGAAACGGTCTTATCAGAAGACGTTTATGTAATTTTTGCACACATGATTATTTCTAAGTTTAATAGAGAAACTTTGCAATCATATGAAAATCATGTGAAAAGAACAAAAGAAGTTCAAAAATTGTCCGACGTAATGGAGTATTTAGAACAAAGGTTGAGTGCTCTATGCTCATTGAATGACGACGAGAATAAACCGAAAGTCAATGAGGACATTTCGGAAAATGGCCCAGTTTGCAAGGTAGCCGGGCATTATAAAGATTTGGAGAGAATTTGGGAGGTAGGAGAGGTTAGAGGAGGAGGTAAAAGAAGTTGCAGAAACAGAAATCTGCGAGAAAATTGTTATTGAAACAACAAAAGAATGCATTAGATGGAAGGGATACATTCCGCTTAAGGATGAAAAAGAGTTAAGAGAATCAAGACCACAAGAGATGGCACTGTTTCTACACTCAGAAAATAAATGCAAAAGAAATACGCAGCTTAAGGAAAGTTATAGACATTTCTTAGGAGAGTATGTGGACCTTGGAAATAACGTCGAGTCCAACGAAAATGAATCTAATTTCGTAGGTGCGTCAAGAAAGCTAGATCAAGATTTCCTAAAAGGCGACAAAAACTTAACATTATTAAAAGAAATAAGAATCCCTAGATGGTATCAGACTATCATAAAGCTTGAAATACAGCTGCATGGATTCACGTATGCATCAGGGAAAGCATACACAAGAGTGGTATATGATAGAGGAAAGGACAATAAAGTCAGAATAGTAGATAAAATTACAAGATGGAAGTTCCACAAGAACAGTTACCAAAGTATGCTCGCTTATTAGCATACAGGCACACGACGAAAAAAACATGTAGAAAATACTAAGGAAAGTAAAGTAATAACTATTAAAGAAAATGAAAAAATCCAGTGGGATAAAATTATCCCGCCGGCAGGACCTCACTTCGGAGGTATTTGGGAGGCCGGAGTCGAATCACTAAAATATCATCTAAAAAGCATAATAGACAACTTAGATAAATGGAAACTGATTAATAGAATGAAGAAAGAGTTTTGGTCAAAAGATTATTTGTATGCCCTACAACAAAGAAGTAAGTGGAATAAAGAAACATTGAGACTACAGTGGGAACCTTTGAAATACGAATTCAAAATTAAGGTCAATTGTGAGGGCTCAGAAAACATAAACAAAAGACAAGTATTATCCACGCTTGCAAAGATTTTAATTTATTAGGTTGGCTAGCCCCGGTTACAGTTGTAGGAAAATTATTCATGCAATAATGCATAATGTTACTCAAGCAAGAATAGACAAATTAATTATTACAGTAATAAAGTGCGAACGTCAGAAAAAAGAAATTGAAACAAAGAGTAAAATACCAGGACTAAACCCATTTTTAGTCGGAAGTAGACATCAAAATTCAAATACATAAATTAAGGAGAGTTACACACTGCTAAAGGCAAGGGGAATATTAATACAGAATAAACTCATCACAAATCTTTTACCATTATCAGTACAAAGAGATGGACAAATTATAATGATACAGTTAAGTTCAGACTATTAAGTATATAACTTTGAAATGTTTTCGTACCTTCTAATGATTGTATTAATCTAAGTCGTAATTATTATTGTATATCTGATAAGAAAAATAACTGTAAATAAAAAAACTGCAGGCTATCACCTTTGTCGGCCCTCCGCAAAATGTTCACACATGAACACGTGACACCGAGTCTAAATTTAAGCTTCGGTAAAATTATATCTCACACCATCTTGTACGGCTGCAGCCAGCAGCATAATAATAGATAGCGCACTTGTGGTCGCTTAAGAGTCTAAGAGCGACCTACGCTAAGAAATGTAATGTTAGAAATATTAGTAGCAAGGGTAAAAAATACGCTAATTAAACACAATAGTTTATGACCGCTGCTGCTGATAATGCATCGACAGCAGTATATAGTATCTCTATATATTAAACTGTTTGTCCTGACTGACTGACTGGTAATCAACGCACAGCCCAAACCGTAAGAGCTAGGAAGCTGAAATTTTCACTGTAGTTACCTTATGTGATGTAGGTGCACGTTAAGGCGAAGTTTCGGGAAATTCCACCCGCAAGTGTGGAAAAATCGCGAAAAACGTTTGTATGTAACTTTTTTGTTTACCATCCGATTGGCCTCAAATTTATTTTCAAAGGTCTTTGTTCAAATTCATTTGAGGGGTATTTCGCACTTTTTGGAAAATGCATCCCTCCTTGGTGGAAATGGGGGTCAAAAATTTGGTGGGTGACGTTTCGCCCTCAAATTTATTTCCAAGTATCTATATGAAAAATCATTTGAGACGTGTTTTTCACTTTTCGCAGAATTCAAACTTCTTCGGGGGGAATGCGATTCAAAGATTTTTTGGGCGAAGTTTTAAGTTGTGTCCGATTTGCTTCAAACTTATTTTCAAAGCTCTACATAAGAACTTAATAAATACGTATTTCAGCGATTTGGGAAATTCCACCCGCAACAGTGGTAAATTGGCGGAAAACGGTTGTATGAAAGTTTTTTGTTTACCATCCGATCGGCCCCAAACTTATTTTCAAAGATCTTTGTTCAAATTCATTTGAGGGGTGTTTCACACTTTTAGGAAAATCCATTCCTCCTTGGTGGAAATGGGGGTCAAAGATTTGGTGGGTGACGTTTCGCGCTCATATTCGATTCCAAAGATCTATAAGAAAAATCATTTGAGACGTGTTTCACACTTTTCGCAGAATCCAAAATTTTTCGGGTGGAATGCGACTCAAAGATTTTTTGTGCGAAGTTTTAAGTTGTGTCCAATTTTCTTCAAACTTATTTTCAAAGCTCTACATAAGAACTTAATAAATAAGTATTTCAGCGATTTGGGAAATTCCACCCGCAACAGTGGTAAATTGGCGGAAAACGTTTGTACGAAAGTTTTTTGTTTACCATCCGATCGGCCCCAAACTCATTTTCAAAGATCTATGTTCAAATTCATTTGAGGGGTGTTTCACACTTTTTGAAAAATCCATCCCTCCTTGGTGCAAATGGGGGTCGAAGATTTGGTGGATGACGTTTTGTGTTCAAACTTATTTCCAAAGATCTATAAGAAAAATCATTAGAGACGTGTTTCACATTTTTCGCAAAATCGAAACTCCTTCGGTGGAAAATGCATTTCAAAGTTTTTTTTGGTGAATTTAAAGTTTGTTTATTTTATAACATACGTGCCACGGGCAAGGCCGGGTTATACCCGCTAGTATTTATATGTATGTATATCTCTATATATAAAACTGTTTGTCCTGACTGACTGACTGATTGGTTATCAACGCACAGCCCAAACCGTAACAGCTAGGAAGCTGAAATTTTCACTGTTGTTACCTTATGTGGTGTAGGTGCACGTTAAGGCGAAGTTTTGGGAAATTCCAACCGCAAGTGTGGAAAAATAGCAAACAACATTTGTATGAAACTTTTTTGTTTACCATCCGATCGGCCTCAACCTAAATTTTAAAAGAAATTTGTTCAAAATCTTTTGCGGGGTGTTTCACACTTTTCTAAAAATCCATTCCTCCTTGATGGAAATGGGGGTCAAAAATTTGGTGGGTGATGTTTCGCGCTCAAATTCGTTTCACAAAATTTTTTTGAAAAATCATTTGAGACGTGTTTCACACTTTTCGCAGAGTCCAAGAAATGCGATTCAAAGATTTGTTGGGGTAAGTTTTTAGTGTTGTCCGATTTGCTTCAAACTTATTTTCCAAGCTCTATATTAGAACTTAATGAATATGTGTTTAGGCAATTTAGAAAGTTTCACCCGCAACAGTGGTAAATTGGCGGAAAACAATTGAATGAAAGTTATTTGTTTGCCGCCCGATCAGTTTCAAAATAATTTTAAAGCTTTATGTGAAAATTTATTTTATACGTGCCACGGGCAAGGCCAGGCTATATCCGCCATATAACATATGTAAGTTACTATGTTCTACACCCTTCTTTAAAAATATCGGGGCTAATTCCATGTTTTATTATTATATGCAACCGATTTCAATTTGTCTTTGAACTAGGTGACTAAGATCTCGCAGATATCTGTCTGTTTTTGCACAAATTTATTAAGCCAGGGTATAATAAAATATGTGCACTCTGAGCAGATTTTTGGAATGTGCTTGTAAACTTTTTGTTGGGCGCTCTTAATTATTAGCATAATTATGGGTTGGGCTTTCCGTATAGCTCTTCTCGCATGCTGAACGCGTCGCCTAAGTAATTGTTGGCGGTAAATTTTTATATGCGCCTTAGGGGCTCAGCACTCACACTAATTGTTGACTAGTAAGTGCCGTGCATGTGAGGACTGTGGTGATGTCATAGATGGCGTGCACCTGAACCGTCATCAATATTACAGAGTCAACAGCCAAGAAATTGCATGAAACAGGCCCTCTCGGCCAAAACATACTTCCAAACGAACTCGTTTCCCGCACTCAGCGTGGTTTAATCGCGCATTTCGTTCTTCACCATTATCCTTCTCATAGGACTAGGACTGAGCGCACTGCTTGAAATTGTTGCAAGAGTTTACTTAGTATGCGCCATTGATTTTTTCGTTTCTAATTTTTGAATTTTTGGGCTGTTTGTGTTTTGGTTCTTTTAGCACTTTCACTTTTGTACGCACTTAAGTATTTGCATGTTTCTTGACATACAGGGTGCACGGTTTTGAACTTTTGTGTAAATTGTATAGATTTAATTAATCGTATGTGCTGCTGCATATAATCGTTCGCAAGGTGAAAATGTAGAGACTTGAATCTTGTATATCCAGTACAGCCACGTCTGATAGTGTTCTTGAATTTCAGAGCTAACACAACCTTTTTTGGAATAAAGACTCTAGTCAAAAAATCAATCGAAAAGTCGATATATACAATCACTAACCAAATAACATATAGACTGGACAAACCGTACTTTTGTTGGTGACATTCGTTTTTTTTGCGGCTGGTCCAAACTCGCCTTCGTTTTTGTTCCAGTTTGAGACATGCCCGCATGCTCTCACAGCAAGAGAGTAAGGAATACATTGACATGTGTCGTAGAACGGCATCGCTGTCTTTTTATTGGCTCA